CGTCTCTTCTCCCCTTTGGTTTTCTTTCTCTCTCTCCCCCTCTTTCTCTCATTCATTCCCCCTGTCCTATTTATTTAAAAAAAAAAAAAAAAAAAAAAAAAAAAAAAAAGTTACACCTTGCTAATACCAGGGTGGACCGCCTTATGCTTTCAGAACTGTTTTAATTATTCATAGCAAAGATTCAACAAGGTGCTGGAAACATTCCTCAGAGATTTTGGTCCATACTGACATGAAAAAAAGAAAAGGATCGTTATTCACATTCACTTCAGTGTTATTATGCTAAATTTTCATTTATTTGCTTCTAAATTTCACAGATTTTGGATATCCCAGATGGCCACAGAGCTCCCGCCCCTGCCCAGAGATGCAGCAGTGGCTCTCAGAGTGACCCCTCACCGGGGCCACTGGATCCTTCCCTTCTTTCTCCTTCTCAGTCCCCTTGTATTCTTGATACGTCACTTCTGACACCTTCAGGTTCACCTTGTCCTTTGAATCCATCACTTTTATCCCCATCCCAATCTCCCTGCACCATGGGAGAGCCAGGTTAGACAGGCTTACATTTCCTGTTTTGCAGTGCTTTATTAAACCATAAATGGATATATTTTTGAAAAATAATAATACTACAGACAGAGGTTTGCTTTAATTCTGGTATTGTTAGTGAAAATCTCTCTCTCTTTATGCAGAGCCTGTGGACTATGAGATCTTGTGTCCCTCTCCATCAGCATCGCTTCCTTCATTTGCACTGGATCCTCCTCTGCTGCAGGCCTGCTCCTCTTCGCCTCGTCCCAACAAAACCTACTCTTTTCAGCGCGAACCGCCAGAAGGCTGTGAGCGAGTTCGAGTGTGTGAGGAAGCAGTGTAAGTACACCAAAGCATCATGCATAGATCATATCATGCAATTATTTCCTACTTTCTATACCACAAATTTACTTTTGTACCCAACTAAACCCCTCCCACAAGTACCATCAGAGCAAAACAGGATGTCATTACCACTCCAAATCAAGTTCAGATCACAAGACAAAAGGCACACGTTGTAATCTTGGAGCCAGTAATGACAAATAATGTTGCCAAAGTTTTATACAAATTTATTATTTATGTGTATTTTTGTAACAGCTTGCTATGCATTTACATGTGGTCCCTTATGAATTTAACATTTCCAGGTTGAGCACCAAGTGTCCACCACTTTGATGAAATTTATGCCATTTTTCCAGTCTCTTCCAGTCTGAGAAGTCTCCAAGGAGGATTTGTTTTTAAATGTAACTTATTTACATTAAGCCACGTGACACGAGAAACAAGTACAAACTGAGGCCGTAACATTGCATTTGCAGGGGAATCATTATATACACATAATGTATATACAAATAGAAAGAACTTGGATTTATAGGAAATTTTTCCTTAAAAAAAACATATAGATGATAATAATTCCTATATGTGTGGTGATATTTATACAAAGTTTTGTTGAGATTGGCCCACCCGTTAAGGAGGACATAGTTATCTAGAGACATAAATGCATATATAATCTATGATTATTTAAGTAAGATGATGTTATTTGCACACTGTACTTGCTATTAAATTATGACACTATCTGAGTTTAGATTGGTTCCCTATATGCCACGTTTTCATCTGTTAATTCTGTTTGTCACTAAGTATGAAATGTACAGGAAAAATGAAGCCTTGATTGTGTTACCGAATTAGGATGACTTATTATTTGTGGCACATTAATTGCAATAACATTGGCATCCTTATTTGATATTCTGTAGAAAAATCTCCAGTCACTATATCAGCAGAAACAGATGAAAAAGCATTTTATCCTACACATTTGTGGGATTCCATAGTGTGTTGATTAGCAAAATTGCCTAATGCGCAAAAGGTCACAACTCGGAGGAAACGCAAATCCAGCCTCAGGAGGTCACGAGTCAGTATCTGCCTTGGAGCAGTCCCAAGTCTGGATAAATGAGAAGGTTACATCAGGAAGGACACCTGGCCTAACAATGTGTGTTAAATCAACTATGCGGCTCAATGCACTATGACAACCTTAGAAAATAAGCTAATTTATACACTTTTGAAGAAAACAGCTTAAATTAGTCTTGTCAGAATATCAGTGCACACTTGAAACCTTCTGATCTTGTGTGACAGTTATTTTTCACTGAATGATTTAATGGAATTGAAGGGTTGTAGAAGTTGTTATTATGGTGCTATAAATATGTAACTACATATAAAGCCGTGGGTGCTGTGTTGCAGTATGGGGGTTCATGCTTCTATCTCTCCATCTACAGCTCTGCCTATCAGGATGAGACTCTCCTCCAGTCATCCTGCCCTGACCCCAATAAAGTCAACTTCACCCCCCACGGAGGCTCAGCTTTCTGCCCGGTCAGTCTTTTGAAGCCCCTCTTGCCCTCCATGGACCTCCTCTTTCGTGGCCTGTCGGTATCTCCCGTCACTGGCTGCTCAGGTCAGGCCTCTCCTACCAGGCACCTGGGCATGCAGTAGGTGGATATCTGAGCAGAGTCTCTCAGGACTGAACCACATTGCACTGCCAGGACAAGCAGAAACTGGATGTGATATATATATATATATTTTTAATGCATCGTGACAATGGACAGTGTTGCATCACTGCTGTAACACGCCATCATCACTGTGATCAAAATAACCTTTGTGACTGTGAAGATTTGTTGCTGTCATACTTTAGAATAACTGTGGCCTAAATTCTGCCCGCTTTATCTTTTGTTTTGTTTTTATGTTTTTTTTTTTCCACCTGCAGGAAGCTTTGATTCAGCTGATATTTACCTCATCAGCACTTAAACTGTCCTAGTATTCAACCGTATGAGGCATGGATTAGACTGCAGGATTTAAGTTGTGGAAATGCTTGAAAAGCTTTATAAATACTTGCGTTTATTAAATCATTCTTTTGCATTAAAATTGTTCTAGTTAGAGACCGCAGTCTAGAAGGGATGCTTTTATTTTTCATCTTGAAACGTGAGAATTTACTGTCAAAAACCCTAGCACTTAGAACACACACTGGTACAGGTTTTGCCTTCTTACTATCCAAAAAATTGATGGGTATTGTAGTCGAGTATTGTTGATTTTAGATAAACATCCAGCTTAATTTGTGAGGGTTAACTGATGAAAAACAAAATATTTGTCGAATTTTTATATATATATATATATATATATCTGTTTGAAATATTTTTGGCTTAAAGCTTTCAATGGCCTACTTTTCTACAGACGTGTTTCAAGGGAGATACATATTTTTTTGTCTTTATAAGAAGCAGATGATACTGCTTCTGTTTTCACTGTTCTGACTTGTGCTGTTTTATAAGCAGACATTTTATAGCTTTATTTGCCTACAGGGGGCTTTGTTATAACCAAACTATTTTTAATAATTAGAGCAGGTTGTGTTTGTCAGTTTGAGCCTTTTTTGAACCCTGGAGTTTAGACCACAGTGTTAGTGAAAAGCTTGACCTCCTTTTGATTGAATTATTATTCAATTGTGTTTTTTTTTCCCTTCAACATAATAAATGACCTACAGGATAAATGGGGAGTAAACGTCAATGAAGAATTTGTCAGCTTTTTTTTTTTTTTGGTATTCTTTTTACGTGATAGCAGTTAAAAATGTTACCTGTGCTGTTGCCTGTGTAGAAAACAATAAAAGAAAATTGTTTTGGGGGCGTTAAAATGCCTTCTACGGTAATTATAATTCCTGTGGTTATTGTTTGTTGTCGTGTCTGCATTTGACACGTGTGTCTGTGGGTTTTTAAATCTAAACCCTCCCTCCTTTGCCAAATCAGCTTTGTGATTGGCTTAAAGCGGCTCCATAGTTCTTACATGGACCAATGAATTTAATCCACATCCTAGGACGACAAAAGGGCACGCGACATTTTCAAGAAAGGACCTCGGCTTTTTAAATAGCTGCCTCAAGTCACGACTAACCATTAAAAGTTAACGCGAACACCAAACGATCACAGAAGAGGCAGCGTTTTGTTTGCAGGATTGGAGCGGCGTATATTAAACACGTTATTATGCCTGTATGACTCAGGGTAGTTTTATTAAACTTAATATAAGCGTACAGGCTCAGGTGCTGACACCTAATGGGTCCTTTTAGAAGATAACTTTTCCTGCTAATTGCAGGTTTTAATTTCCCAATGAAAACCCGAGCGGCACATCCTTACCGTTACTCGGGTGTGAAAAACGGGATGCTTTTAATATAGCAGCTGCACAGCTAGAAGGCCCTTCTGTCTGGGGTGATATAGAACAACCAACTATGGCATGATACTCGAATCTCAAGACAAGAGTTGGAAAGCTCCGGCAAATAAGATTTACTGCGATATATCACCAAGTCTTCCAGCTGGTGCATAATCCACAGCCAACGTAAACACGCGAGCGCCATTTCCGGGCTCGTGATAGCGGCTATAGTGGAGCGAGAGGTCGGAGCGAGAGGAGCGGGAAGTGGAGCGGTGGTGTCGGTTAACATTCCCGGGGTGGTCGACGACGGCATGGCAGCGGGAAAGGGAGCTGGGAAGCCCGCCTGGCTGTGGGACAATATGAGGTTACGGTTCATCGTTTGCTTCTTCGGAGTCTTCGTGTGCTACTTTTATTACGGAATATTGCAAGAGACGATGTAAGTAACGAAGCTAAACTAGAGACATTGTTATGCTGCTGTGAACCAAAACTCCCTTCAAAAAGCTGCCGCTTTAATATTGCTATGCATACATTAAAAATTTAGTTGGAGTTTGGTTATAGTTTTGTCATTAGAAAAAAATCACAGTTCTCATAATCGTAATCATATGAGCATATGACCTGAAGCACTGTCTTTGTAGATCTCCAGATCTGTTAAGTAAAACTAAATACAGTACTGCAGCAGTATCCCCCCTTTTTGATTGATTGATTTATTTTTACATATTCGTCACACTTAAATTTCACTATTAGACAAAGATGACCCATGTAAATATAAACTGTCATTTTTTAACTTGTTATTTAATTTATTAAAGGGGGGGGGGGGCTATCAAAACCTACCGGGCTCTGCAAAAGTAATTACCCCCTAAAACTAATAAGCGGTTGTGCCAACCTTGGTAACAAGAACTGTAATCAAGTATTTGTGATAACTGGCAATGACTCCTTTATGTCACTGTGGGGCAGATATTGCTTTCCTCACTGTTCTTTGTAGAATTGGTTTGACCACATTAAATGGTTTTTTGAAAATGAATGTCTGTTTCAGGTCAATCTGAATTAAGTCTGGACTTTGACTAGCAGCTTTTAGCATCTCTGAGGTGGACTTGCTGGTGTGTTTCAGATTATTGTAATCCTGTTTAACCCAAGTGAACTTAAACTGTAGGGCACAAACTGATGGCTGGAGATTCTCTATGAGGATTTTCTGGTCGAGCAAAATTTGCGGTTCCATCAATTAGAGCAAGTTGTTCTGATCATGAAGCAGCCTCAGGTTATAACACTACCACCACCATGTTTGACTGCTGCTGTTATGATGTGTTAGTTTTACATCAGATAAGATGGGATTCAAACTTTCTAAAAAGTTGATCTTTTGTCAGACAGGATCTATTTAAGCAATTTCGTTATTCAACGGGTTTGGCCTGGGTGTGACTGTGACTAGTGAAACTGGGCTCAGCTTTCAAACTGCGGTAATCAGAGTTAACTTGTGGTTTAACGATAAATGGGCGCAATTACTTTTTCACACAGGTTTGGCTCTTTTTGCCTTAATAAATTAAATCATGGTTTTCTCTGGTTACCGCTGACTAATATTAAAATTTGTTTGATGAAATGAAACGTGTGTGAGAAATATGCAAAAGAATAAGACATCTGGAAAAATTCTTCTCTGAAGAATAATTTTTTTTATTTTTAGTCTATCTTAAAAGCAAAATTCTGCATTACACAGACTTTTGTTTTTGCGTTGTTTTTCTTTTTGGGGGAGTATATTTAAAAATCTCAGAGGTTTACTGGTTCAGGCATAAGTTTTTGCAAAAGAGACATTTTAGTTTCATGTATACTGTTTCTCCTATACATGCAACTTTAAAATCTGCAGTCTGGCTTATGTAAAGTAAGCAGAGCTCTGCCTGTGTTCTCTTTCACATACTGAGAAAGGACACAGATGGTATGCTGTCAACAAAGGGTACAGGAATACTCTCTGGTTTCAAAATGATGACTTGAAAATGCCATGTGAGGTGAAGCGGCACTTCTACAAACCAATGTCTGACTTTTATTACATGTTATTACATGTTGTTATGACTATGGACATATTATCTTCAGATTAGCCCACTAAAAACAATTGCAAACTGACACCAAGTACTCAAGCAAGACGGCTGCTGAAAAAACTTTTGGTCCACTAACAGACTGCTACCCTCACCACACCCCTCTTTCACTCTCCTTTTCTGAATGCCCTTTTCACAGCTAGGAGACACATGAAACCACTCAGATGTTTAACCTAGCTATTTGCATGCTCCTGCCAAGACGGGTCTGTTGTGTTCAACATGCTGTTGCTCTCTGTTTTCTAGCACTCGAGGTGATTATGGTCACGAGAAGTTCAGATTCGCCCGTACGCTGGTCTTCATCCAGTGCATCATCAGTTGTGTCTTTGCAAAGATCTGTGAGTATGTGCTGCACAAAATGCACACAAAAACTAATAACAGTGGTTAAAAGACTCCACTGACTCTGCTAGGAAACACCTGAGAACAACACCAGTCGAATCTCTTGTATGTTAACTTCTCTGCCTAATATTTAAAATAATGTAATGTTGTGAACTTTTTTCTTTAATTCTCTTTTAATAATTAGTGATCCAGTTTTTTGAGAGCTCCAAGCCAGATCACACGAAGAGCTGGCTCTATGGCCTGTGCTCGCTCTCTTATCTTGGAGCCATGGTGTCCAGTAACTCTGCCCTTCAATATGTCAACTATCCCACCCAGGTGAGTATGCCCTATTTAAATGGGTCAACAGTAACTGGTTATGTGTTTTTCTTTTTTCATTGTATGTGTATTTGTGCTTGAGCCTTGCATATTCTATAACTGCGTTTTTGTTTGATAGGTTTTGGGGAAATCCTGCAAACCCATACCAGGTAAATCGAACAAAAATAAGTGTTGTAGTGTTGCTTTTTAAAGTGCTTTCTTTCACCATATCATTTACATAATATTTTGTCACTGCTTACCTTTGTTTCCGTAGACAACAGTCTGTCTGTACTGACTAATTCAGAAAGTGTACAGTATGCAGGGTGTGTATGAGGAAATATACAAAGTCAAATTATTTACTTTTTTTTTTTTAAGTGTAGGCTACCAAACAAACACGAGTGATTCTGAGGTCTTTTCTTACAGATTAGGGACACATTTAGTTTGAATATTCTTCTTAGGCATGTGGAGCTGAGAGCCTGCTTTGCATATTACAGTATGTCCTGTTTATACATGAAGGTTAACTCTCACCCCTCACAGCTTGGTTATCGCTTGAATTCTGTTTCCTTCCATATGTTTCACTCTCAGGGCTGAAGTTTTGACACGCTGTCCAGGCTGGTATCAATCGGCTTCATATTTCTGTTATTGTGTCCTTGCAGTGATGATCCTCGGTGTGACAATACTGAGGAAGAAGTATCCACTGGCTAAATACCTGTGTGTGTTGCTGATTGTGAGCGGTGTTGCTCTTTTTCTCTATAAACCCAACAAGAGCTCTGCTGTTGGTGATGACCATATTTTTGGCTTTGGAGAGATTCTGCTGGTGAGCTAACACATATTCTGTTCATTTCACCTATTTGTCCTCATATGCTGCCCATCTGCTTGCATCTCCCTCGTGTCCTCACGGGTGCTTTGACTTTCCCATTACTTTCATCTCATGTCTCGGTGTTGTGTTTTGCTGCATCATAGCTGGTCTCTCTGACATTGGACGGTTTGACTGGTGTGGCCCAGGACCACATGAGGGCTCGCTTCCAGACGGGTGCGAACCACATGATGCTGAACATCAACATGTGGTCCAGTCTGGTGCTGGGACTAGGTGAGTCTCACATCTAATAGAATATGTGTCAGGAGCATGCAGGCTCTCATTCCAACTGAAAATACATCTGGCCATTACACTGATTTGCTCACCTGCAGCTAGAGAGGAGACACTAATGAGCAAACTCACCTTGGTGTGGTTCAGTACTGCCAACACTGGTGAATATATGGTTTCAAAGCTTTCTTTATGAATAATTATCTAAGAGCATAGTACCGGTTTAAGGCTTTTGCAGAAAATTTCTTATGGTGCTATAATGTTTATAATTAACAAAAAAATTTTGATTAAAGATAAGAACAAAATATCCTATGTTTAATGTAGTTTTCTTCAGGTGCTTTTCCACTCAAAACTTTTTAAACACCAATTCAAAGTGAAATCACCTCATGGTGATTTTGCATTTACAAAAGTACCATAAGGTGTTCTCCGTTGTAGTGCTGTGTTCCTAAGGTGATTTTAATGTGAGTTTGGTATATTTTATTCTCATTCTGGATTCTGACATGAGCTCCAGGATGAATAGCGGGTGCGATGCAGTAGATGGTAGCAAGAAGTTTAAAAAAAACAACCCTCAAACAGAACCAATAACAGCTGCATTAGAAGCAGAAAATGTGTGCACTTTTCCCTCAGGAGGCAAAAACTCATTAATTTAGTCAAGGCATAGTGCGGAGTGTTATCTTTTTAGATAAGAAATCCTCCACCTCAAAGCCCTCAGTTCTGTTAGCAGATTGCTACAATATGCTGAAGAGCAAGGCACATAAAACAAACACAATTTAATGATGGGTTTTTTAAGGTTAGGTACTAATGGGCTCTGAGATAAAGATCAAAAGGTCAAAGATTATATGAGAACTGGAGGACTGTCATCACTTTTAAGCTAACTAACTGGTAGGGTCTGCCGTCTTGGAGTGTTTTTCTATCCTTCCTGAACCACTTTATTATGCTAAATTACATTTTATAAAGCTATGGCGTTTTTTTTGTAAGCGTTAAGTGCAGTTCCAATATGCAACCTTAACAGCTTTTAGTTATTGGTTGTCAAATGTGTGCAAATGCAGATATACTCCTGGTTTCAACATGCACAGCAAGACTTTGATGTCTAGTATTTCCCAAGATGCAAAGGTATTCTTATACCTCCACTCCTACAAATTCATTACACCCCCACACTAAGATTTCACCTAACTGCTAATACTGTACAGAACCACTTGGTGGTGCTGTACATTCACACTGTGAACTCGGTCTGGTTTTCTTACCAAGGATAGTCAGAAATAAACTGTGTTTTGAAAAGTTGTTGATGTTACGTTCCTCTCTGTTCTCAGCGGTGTTGTGGACAGGGGAAGTGTGGGAATTCCTGAGTTTTGCAGAGCGCCACCCGGGCATCTTTTACAATATATTTCTGTTTGGAGTCACCAGTGCTTTAGGCCAGGTAGGTGGATCAATGCGAGTACTGATTATTAGCAATGCCATATTAAAGAACAGGAAACACCCTGTTGTGTTTTACAATAGATACTTAGTAATGACTGACATCCTGACTGGCCGGCTCAAATGTTCCTTTTTCAGACCTTCATCTTCATGACAGTTGTGTACTTTGGGCCTCTGACCTGTTCCATTGTCACAACTACGAGGAAGTTCTTCACCATCCTTGGCTCTGTTATTTTGTTTGGCAATGTAATGACTACAATGCAGTGGGTTGGCACCATTCTAGTATTCCTCGGTCAGTAACTATATTACTTTCGTATTTTAATATATTAGATTTCCATTTCGTCAGGTTTCCAAAAGGTTGATTCTGTTCATCTGGACAGTCTTTTCAATCCAAGTGACAAAACGTTTCTCCCATTGAAAACGCTACATCCAGATGAACAGAGTCAAATTTTTGGAATTTACTTACCTGGATGATTGAGTATGCATCAAGACATGTCATCAGGTTAAATGTATATAAAATATCTGTTCAGATGTTGTGTCTTCCCTCCATTCACATCTTTGGTTTTCTCACTTTAGGTCTTGGAATGGATGCTAAATTTGGCAAAGCCCCCAAGAAGACTACACACTGAAACACACTGGCGCACATGTGGAAAAAAAGAAGAGAAATACTAGATTGGAAACACTATAGCCAGTATATTATTTTCATAAGGCATCATGTACAGGCACACTATATGTGCCTATGACTTGTTGAACTATGGTCAGATATTTTACTGCATTTAAAAGAGAGTCGTTGTAGTTTTCAACTCCAGCTTCTGTTGTGTACAGTTGATATACTGAAGAGATGCATTATATGGGATCAAGTCCAGAATGAGCTGTGACACAACCTGCAGTCCTTTTTGTGGAAGAATTTGAACTGGCTGAAGTGCACAGGTGTAAACCTTATTTTATTCAGACAAATCTTTATTGTTTCTGAAACCAGCTCACCTGCCTTGGATTGATGTTGAACCAAACAAGGCCTTAGAAATACATTTCCAGCAGTTAACCCATGAAATTACACCAAATGGTTTACAAATGGATGCTTGAATGTGTGTAATTGTAACATTTAGTTTGTCTGAGAAAACAATTAGTAAGTTTAATGTCCTTTATGAAAATTTAGACGGTTGTATGTCGCCTGTTGTCTTATGTCCAGTCTTACTTTTAAATTGTATTTACGTTTATTTTCTAAAGTTGAAAATTACTTGCCATAAAAGGGAAATTATTATATTTTGTTGTCATTTTTATTCTTTTTTTTTTTTCCAGTTTTTAAAAACTGGTTCAAATCGGTTCATTCTACAATGGTATTGACTGCATCATGGCACTAATCACCAGCTACTTGTTAAACTTGTTAGCCAAACCCAACAATTAAATGTATTTAAACACCCATCGATATTCCAATAATATGTAGCTTACACAATTTTCTCTACTTCAAATAATATTTTTAAAGATGCATTGATTGTGGAAATGCACCTAAGGAATGAAAGGACACTGGACTTCTAAATATGAAATGCCCCTGAATCAATATTTTGAATGGAACTGATAAAAAACTGGAATATTGATTATATCTTAAGGGAAATGTCCTTAAACCTGACAATTAAAACTAAATAGCCAGGGTTTTGTTTTGTTTTGTCTTGAAAATCAATGCAGTGTTTGGAGGAGAAATAGCTGACAGTGAACTCTGCAGTTAAAACATGGATGCACTGATAAGAGATGTTAACAGCAGCCTGTTTTGTTTCTTTATATTTAATAAAGAAACTAAATATGCAATCTTTAATGTATTTAAATAAGGCCTGCTAAATTTTACCTTCATACTACAGAAATTTTAAGTTATAGGTCCTCAAAGTACTTAGGGGACATAAGTGTTTTTCCCCCCCAAGATTTTTAAATCTGTCATAATTTAATAAGTGCATTTGATAGCAAAAATTGAAATCTGATGACATTTTCAGGGTTTAACCTTCCACTTAGATTAGTTTTACACCCACTCTAAATGTCACAGTCCAAAGCCCAATTCTTGTTTTCTTTAGCATGATTAATTAATACATTTTTATAACCAACTTTTAACATCAATATCATAGTTCACCAATATCATACAGTGAAATCTGAGATCTATTTTATCATTCAATTAAAATAAATTTGAAGCAAATGAGCACTATTTATGTATAATGCAAATTATATACTCTGTGTGCACTTTGAGAGAAAGTACTCAGGAAATTATATGAAAGTAGCATTTAGCATTTAAATATACCACAGTTGTAGTTCAAAAAATAAAATTACAACTCATAACAGTGCAGAGGGGAGGCCTCAACAACAAATTAACATCATTAACTGTGAGGAGAAAATCCAAATAAAACAAAAGTGAAAACAAAATAGCAACTTTAAAAAAATATGATAACTCATCAAGGTCATGAAAGTCATGATGATTTTGGACTCTTTGTTATTTCTTTGAACTGTTGTTTTTCCAGTGTGGAATGATTGTACGACAAACATCTTTAATGGCTTTTAAAAACACGAATTGTTCTGTTTAGCAAGTTTCAGCTCAACCACACAGTTTTGGTAGCCATTAGCAAGCTGCTGGAAGAATTCTGGCTGAACATTTGACTTTTCTTGGCAGAATTTTATTTTTTTTTAATCTGCTTGATTCCCTGGCAAGAAGTTGGATTTTAATCATACTGCACAAATTTCCAATAGAGTCGAGAATTTGTTCCAGAAACTTAATGCTAGCCTCCTTTATCCATTCCAAACCCAGCTTTGGATTTGTGCTTTGGATTGTTTGGTGATCCTTTTGGAACACCCAGCTGTGTCCCATTGTTCTGTACTGGTCAATCCAGTGAATCCTCCTTATGCTGGCAAAGAGAAATTACCAGTTGTAACCAATCATTCTCTGTGATGAGAAGTTAATAGGCCTTTGCCTTGTCAAAAAAGATTTGGGTGAATGTGTGCCGTATATATATATATATGTTTATATAGGAATACGTATCTGTATACTTTTGACACACTGGATTAGCGAAAATCCAAAATACATTCAAACTTATGCCCACAATTCTTTGTTTTTTAAAGATCTAAGCTGTGCAATCATTCCCCTCTCGAAAAAGAAATGTTTTTTTTTAAACTAAATTACCATAACTTTCATACCCATGATGAGTGTATGTAAACTTCTAACCTTCTAACCTTGCTCTCTGTAGATGCCATAGAGCAAGATAAGGAGTTATGAAACTTTTCATTTCCCTAGAACAAAGTTAAGAAGCAAATAATGAAATACATAATGAATTACTCTGAATATTTATTCTCAAACATCATAATGATCATGGTGTGTCTCTACTGTTATCTATCATGCCACTAATATTAAAGATTTTTTTAAATAGAGTAAAGTGGAATTTAACATTAGGTAGACTTTATACTGTAGCTTGATATAATTATGAGCAACAGCTACTTCTGTCTTGGTATGGGAAACATATATAGCTGACTGCACATATTACAGTAAACACAATTTATATTTATAGTGCAGTATAAGATGATAAATGAAAAAATATCTGTTCTGGATCAGTGGGAACCAGAATTATTTTTTTTAAATTATTTTTATTTATTTTTTTTATTGAGTTTTGACTTCAGTTGAGTTTAATATAGCTCCCAAAATGTGTTTGCTCATTTTGGTTACAAATGTTTACTTTTCATTGAGTTTTTATTAGCTTAAGTCTTTATTTTAGGCCTCCAGGATATGGAGAGCATCTACTGGAGAGGATGTTTAGGGAAAAAATCAGAATATCTAGTACATTAAAAAAAAAAAACCTTTCTGAAAGCAGGTCACCCACAAGTCCCAATAAACATGTTCATCAAAGCCTCATCAGGCTGGTTACGATATGTTTTTCATTTTATTTTAAGTTTTTTTTTTCAAGTACACAAAATCGTTTCAGTTAGCTTATATATATTTTTTTTCAAAAGTGTACTTTTTATTTTTATTAACTAAAAAGCTTTTTCGACATCTACTAGTTTTTATTTTAGTTTTAATTAATTACAATAACCTCGGTAGGATCTAAGCTTTTCTTTGTTTAATAATCACATAAAATTTGAACGAAATATTGGGAATAAGAATAATAAAATACTTTTTTTTT